TAATATTTCTTATAATGACTAAGAATTTGCTGCTTTGTCAACATGTTAAATTCTAAAATGACAAAAATAATGAAACCTTTTAAATTACCAATTATTTCCCTTATCTTTTGTGTGCTCTGTCCTTTTAGGACTAGGTGATCATGGCTCTCTGCAATTTTTTATCCTTTCTCTCATTACTGTCCCTCCCAGTTCATGTTCTGCCATCAATTTTCACAAGCTTATTAGGTAGGTCACTTGCTGTTTCCCTCTGCCCATCACTGTCCTGTGAGTGTCAAATTCTCCAAATCCTCTTCCTCATTGTGTGCCTCAGAGATTTTGACTTTCTTTCTAATTTTAAGAGTAAGTGTCTTTTTTTTTCCCTTTTTCCTTAAAACTTCCTTTTTGTTCACGTGTTTCATTCATAGTATTCTCAGATCTTCCTGTAGAACCACATCTGTTGCCTAAAGTCTTCCTCTTCATCTATGAAGAAATTGTCCAGTATTTATTGCCATATAGGAAGATTGATATTACATGATAGTTCTGCATTCTTTTCTTTGTTCCTAAGGAAACTTTCCTGTTTCTTAATACCTTTGTTTAACTTTAGCTATTCCAATATACCTTTTTGATTTCTGTCACATTTTCCACCATCTGTTGTACCTTCCACTTTTTTTTTTTTCTGACTAGCATTTTGTTTTGTGTATCCTTTTGTGGTAAAAGCTTGGATCTAAAAATGTTAATTTTAGCTAAAAGAAAAGAATTCTGAGAAATTTAGTGCTTTGTTTTCCTTAATTGATACTTACAGAAGCAGTTTTTCAGTTTGGGATATTGAAAAATGCATTTGTGGCTTTTTGTATTGTCTTCCTATGCTATCTTGTAAAGTAAAAACTGATTAAAAAGTTTGGCTTCCACTTCATTGATTAAAACTGTTTATTATTAACCTTTTTCTTTAACCAATTAAAATAAATTATGAATTTTTTTTTTTTTTTTTTTTTATGACAAATTTTAGCTATTTGAATTTCTAGTTCTTAAAGCTTCTTTTAGGCACATCTACTTCTGCACCAGTGTCCCTGGAGAAGTTATGAATCCATTTCTTTCCTCCCGCCCTGCTATACTTAGGTAGCATAATCTGGCTACTGCCCAATCTCTACAACCCTGGATTCAAAACTGAAGGCAATAGAAAACTGCTTCACTTTTCCAAGAAGTCCTGGTAATTCCCAGATAAAAGGAATCAGTGGAGATATATGATCAGTTATGTGTTAAAGGGATATGATGTTAAAAAATATTTCAAGAAAAAGGTTTACATATTCAGATAATTATTCTGTTTTTTTTTGTTGTGTTTTTTTTTTCCTTGCCTAATTCTAGAAATTTTCAGTTTTATTTTGGGTAATAATTTTTGTCTGGATGTTATTTGTTGGCTGCAATAAAAATCAATCTGCAATTACTTTTTATTGCAAGGGTTTTAATCTGATCCTGTAAATCTACCATATATTAAAACCATTGCAGGATTAGCAATCTAATTGCATGCAATAAATACTCTTGCATTTATGCTTTCTGAACAGTTTGAAATAATATTTACAACTAATCTTTATATATTTTTTATTTAATTTTATTTTTTACCCAAATTTTCATGTTAGACTTTTGTAATTGGAAATATTGCCATAATAAATGTTACTTATATCTAGTTTGTTTGTAACTTCTAGTTATTGTAGGAAATTAAAAAAACCTAATTGATAATGATTTATATATGTTCATTCATATAGACAAGCATTAAACAATTATATAATCTTATTGTACAGAACAGAATAGGAGAAATAATTTTGCAGTTATGGTTTTATAACTCTGAAACTGTATTTACTATTTGTGTGTGTTTTTTTTTTTTTTTTTCATTTTATATTATATATATATATATATATATATATATATATATATATATATATATATATTCAATATTCAAATTCAATAAGTAAATATGTTCACCTATTGTCTGGTTCACACTCCTCTCTGGTTTCTTAAACAGGAGTAGAGGTTTATCCTTGTTTTTTTTTTTTTTTCTGTTTAGGATTAGGTTTCCAGTTCCTTCCAAAGTCTTCTCATTCTCTTTCACTTCAAGTAGCCCTTTGTGTCTCTGATATTATCACCTTGCTTGAGGTAAATTGATTAAAAAAACAAAAGAATGTAAACTTTTTACAAAATGATTTAACTTGTTAGATCAATTTGCAAAAATATTAAAATATAACTAAAAGATTTTTTGTCTTGTTTAGAAAATTCAAAGTTTATAACTTAAATACTGGAATGTGATAAGTGATTTCATAAACCAAGAATAAAATCAAGCTCTAAAGTAGCAGAAAAAAAATCTCCATCTATAATTTTTAAATTAATATCTTTCTCTGAGAGAACATACAAACCTTCAATAATACAATCATTAATATTGTAACATGTTGGGTAGGGAAAGCTGATCATCTATTGGAGATTCTGTCTCTGAACATATGCTAGTAATACTCTGTCAAAGTTCCCTCTACCTGCATTTTGTTCAACATCTGAAGAAATCTGTGGAAGTGCTCCTGAGTTGTTGACACCAGCTACATACCAGAATAAATGTTGGCAGTTTTTGTGATTTGAAAATAAAGATGAAAAATCAACTTGGCATCTAACAATGACGAAGTGTTATTTTATTTGCTGCTGCTGTTTATAAAACTTTTATGATGGTATCTACCCTTTCAAAGATCGTTCAACTTGACAAGGGACTGAATTTCTTAATTATGGCCACTGGTATAAATAACTGGAATTATAGCCATTGGTATAAATAAGCTACGAAACTGTTTTTGCACATTCTTTCATGTGGAAATTTGTCTTGATCTACTTCAAGTTGGCATGTACAGAGCTTTCTTTTATTACCTTTGATTTCTATACTAATTTTCATTCTATTCTTCACTTGCCTATTATGTAGGTGTCTTAAGTACACTCTTTGGGTACCTGTTGAAAAGTGTTAATTCTCTGGTGTTCTTTAACAGTTCTCATGATGCTCCAATGCTCTGAAAACACTTTCAACTGGCTGGCTCATCTTTCTGGCAATCATTGGAACTGTCTATTTGGATTTGGCTATAATATGCTGAATATGTGAGAAATTTATCCATTTTTCCTGTCAGCTATGATCGGTAACAAGTACACTCTCTTGTGGGTTCTGATTCTCCACTTGATTAGATGACTTTTGCTAGTAGGTTTTCTGTATGACGAGATATTTATTTGACCCATGGCTCTGGTTAGCCATCTAGATAGTGTTGACATTTTCCCAACTCACCTTAAGTTGTAAGGGTGGGGTTAATCTATTTGGTTAACTGTGAGTTAAGTTTAGTTTGATTGTTATGAACTATTTTGACTGAATCAATTTATCAATTCACTTTAAATATTTACTTCATTTATCCCTATGTACAAAAGTCTAATCAATCCCTGTCTCTTTCCTCTAACCTACAAATGTTTCTATCCACCCTGTCTTACTGGCGTACATGTACACACACACACAAGTGTGTGTATATATATATATATATATATATATATATATATATATATATATATATGCATGCTAAATTGCTTTAATCATTTTAACATTAACACACAACTAAAATTTGATGCAAATTAATTCTAATGATTTTGTGCCCCCCCCCTTTTTTCTACCTTGTCAAAAAAAACAAATTTCGAATGGGTTATGATTGTGTAATTGAAATTTTTGTGCATGTATTTTAATTTAAAAAAAAAAAAAAAAGTAACCATAAACAATGGGAATTGCTTTATTTTTGTAGATTTAGAATATCAAACGTCAACCAAAATTTGTTTACCATTGAGGTCACATATTTTTTATGCTATAATTTAATTAAAACTTAACACTTTTCAGAATTATTTCTTTATTATATCACTTTTCCATGACAAAATCTGTGTTGCATTAGAAAAAAAAAAAAAAAATGAAAAAAATTCAGTTTCATCACCAAAAAAAAATTTTTTATTAATTTCATGACCATGGTCCTTATGTTAATATTAATCAGCATTAAAATAGCTTTACAAAGATATACAACTTGACCATATTGTGAAATATCAAAATGCTTTTATATGAAGTAGCAGATACTACATTCCGCCATTTTGAATTTTGCCCAGTCCTATAAAACGCTTGTAACAACAGTTCTAGTGGAATGCCCATCATGAAATTTGGAATATATACTGTCATAAGATAGACAAATCTTTTGTCAAAATTTTAAAAAAATTAAAATAACGTTTTTTGAGATAAGTCAGATCAAAGGTCAAGGTCAACTTTTTTATTTGACCCCCTAAAAAAAAAATCCCCAGATAAAATTGTAGATCCATCCAAGTACTTTAGAATGATATATGAATGAACTTTGTAGGTCCATAAACAACTGAGATATCATCTTTTAAAGTTGGTCACTATTCACATTTTCATAAAAAGGTCAGAGGTCATATCTCAGGAACCCCTTGACCTTGAGATGTGTAACAGGTGCCATTCAATTCCTTTCATGGAGATCTACAAGTGTAGCAAATTTGAAAAAAAATCCGTTTCGGACATGGTATTTGACCCCCAAAATTTGTTGATTTGACTATATTAAAATATACCAGTTACTTCCCTTTGGCAGATTAGTTTTATCAAGAAGTTATAACCTGCTACAATGCAGAACTATTTTTTTTAAGTGATACTATATTCCATATAGATAAAAATAAAGATATTACAACTGCATTCTTGTTTTTTTTGTTGTTTTTTTTTTTTTTTAAATATAGCCCAATAATTTTCAAAATATTAAATTAATGCTTGATCTTTACTAATTCAGTTACTGCTGGGGAGGCTTTACTACCTTTTTCCTACATTAATTAGTTTGATATTGTGCATAATGCTGATATACTGAATTTAATTTTTAAAAAATAAAATTCCATCTCTTCTACACAGCCTATCAGTATTTTATTTTTCCTCTTTTTCATTATATTTTTTATGTTTATATTGGCTTTTATAAATTTTTTTTCAGGGAGGTAGGTCTAATGATGAATCTGATAGAGATAGAAAATTACACAGTTCTACAGCTCGAGGGTTACAAGGCACTACCACTGCTGGCCGTGTACGGTCAGACCAAGTTCCTGTCTCGGCTTCACCAGCAGGAGAATATGGCAGTAAGTAAAAATTATTTGCTTTTGTCAACACTTGTCATTTATGGATAAAATGTTTCATAGAATGTAATTCTATTTTTTTTTTTTTTTTTTTTCTTTATTTTTTTAACTCTGATCTTCATATTAATAAGGAACATATAACTAGATAAATTAAGAATAAAAAAAATGCCATCAAACGATTTCAGAACAAATGGAATGAAAATTGTTCCCAAATACTCAGTTTTTAAATAACACTGAGCAACCAAAAAAATGCATTGTTTGGCACACAAATAATTCTGTAGTACTAAATTGAGTATGCTGATTCTAGATCTCAATTTTCTTTTACCAAATCAGGTTTTTGACACATGTATATAGCATATTTACTCTAATAGCAATTTTTTTTATTACCCAGTGTAATCAAAACTTTACAAAAAATTATCCATGTTAAAAATAAAAAAAAAAATAGTGACCTGGTAGGGAAAAGAAAAAATGCTTTTAGAAAGGTGTATGTAATTATATTTTAGGAAATCTAAGTGGATGCTACAGAGAGATGAACAATCCAATGTAAAATGAAATCCTTTTATTTCTTCCCTTATTTTCAACTTCCATGGGAAGAAATATTAATATGAGGTTAATTTGTTCAGTATACATTGATCTTTTAAATCCTGTACCCTCTTCAGAATTATACTTTGAACCTCTTCTTTCTCTGTCAGGTTTTTATAAGTTTCAACTTTTTATTGTGGTCTAAAAAGAAAATTTCAAATAATTTGTCAGAAAAAATATCTTTATGTACTATATTTGTAATTGACAAAAAGATGTTATCTTATTGATTTTTTTTTTTTTTTTACTCTTATTCATATGGTTTACTAATGAATATTTGAGTATTTTGTGATGAAAAGCAACTGAAATTTAAATGAAAATAATACAAGTAAAAAAAAAAAAAAAAAATTAATAGTTGACAATGTGTGGCAAAGTAGGTAGCTTGACAGTGGTCAGTAAACAAATGTAGAAAGACCTGATTTTTATAGTATAGAACAAAGAAAAAGGGTGGTTTCATTATGTTTTAATGATTACTAGAATAAAAGGTGAAATAGGAATTAGTTATCCAATTTCAATAAATTAGTTGGAATGACTGGTTCTTAATCTAACCTGGATATAAGTCCTGTATCCACCTGCTTCTTTTTTTTGTGTCATGTCTCCTCAGGATGTAGGCGATCATGGCTCATCACAATTTCCTGTCCTTTGTAGTTCTGAATAAATTTTATCTTTTTGTTGTTTTTCTGCTGTCCCTCTTCCCTTCAATCTGTCCTTTGAGTATCAGATTTTCCAAGTCCTCTTTCCTCATTATGTGCCCTAGAAATTTCGACTGTCTCTTCCTGATGTTAAGTATGTTTCCTTTTTGTTTCCATTTTCTCTAAAACTTCATTGTTGCTCACATGGTATCCCACTTGCTACACTCGTCAAATCAGGTGAAATAACAAATTATTTCCTTTCCAAAATAATAAACAAATTATCTCTAAATTCAAATTGGTACTGCTTGTCCTCCATGCTTCTTAACAAAGTCTGTCATTGTAGTTCATAGCTAAATCTGATTCCAACACACCATTTTGGGCCTTACTTGGACTAAATGGGCAGTCAGAGAGGCCTGAACCAATCAATTGGCTGGTCATGACAAGCCCTAGCACCTATAACTATATCAATTTATGGAGTACTTTATAATTAAATACAATACTCCAAATATACACTGGCATAAAATACCATCTCTCTCCGATTTATAGAAGTTAGAAGGCAATGGCTGAGAGTCAATCAGTTTGAAGACATGGCTGTGAATGTGCCAGTTTGTACACTTATTTGGGAAGTGCAACAAATGGTTAAACGGGTGCTCAGCCTCTCTTGAATATGAGTATACTGGTTTGTATGGCCCTGACCTGTCAAGGCAACTTGGCATGTCCCATTGTCAGGCTCCAAGGTGGGTGGTGAGCCTAGATAGTGAATCTCAATACACAAAAATTATGAATAATCAAAATAAAAAACTCAAAAGATGTCTTTCAGACTCTGATTCTGAAAAAGAAATTAATATGGAATTTCCAAGATTTTTATGCTCATGTCTTTAGGAGAAACTCCACTGGCAAAACTTTCCCCTTTCTTGATTGAAAAGGTACTATCCAGTAGGATTAATCCTAAAACAGAAAATTGAGAAATAGCAATTTACATAGAACATAGGAAACATGCAGAAAATATAAAGATGAAGCCCTTTCATAATATCAGAATTAAAACATTCCCTCGTGCAAGACTGAATACTTCTAAGGGAGTCATTAGAAGTCTTTGGTCATACCTGAAGAAATTAGATCTGCTTTAGGAAGCCAAGGGGTCAGTGATTACCATAGAATCTCAATTAAGAGAAAAGGGGAAACAATTATAACTGACACATATATCCTTACTTTTGACACCCCTATCCACCCCCAAATAAATAAAAATAGTGTATAATATTGAGCCAGTGGAACAATATGTCCCTGCTCCACTAAGATGTTTTAGGTGCCAAAAATTTGGATATCATAGGGATAGCTGCAGGAGTTGCCCAACATGTGGAAAATGTGGCCAAACAGATTCAGACCATCCTGAAAAAGAATGCTCTGATGAAATAAGATATGCCAAATGCCATGAAAACCATCCAACATGCTGAAGAACATGTGATTTCTGGAAAAAGGAAAGTTGGATTGTCAATGTAAAATATAAAGAAACATTTCATTTTCAGAAGCAAGGCAAATAGGTTACATGAAAGGTTCTTCCTATGCAAAAATTCTTCTAAGGAAATGGTGCAGGCTGAACTGCAAAAGGACAATGACAAAACTGAAATAATAGAGAAAAAACAAATAGCAAAGTGACAGCTCAAACACAAACCACTCCTACCAAAAATACCAAATCTCCTAAATAAAGGTCAGAGCAATCTCCTGTCTGTCATCTGAAACCCAGGAAAGACAGAAAAGCTTATTGCCTAAAAGAACAGAATCAGCCAAACAAAAGCTGGAAATCTATAAACGACTAAATTCCTATGCAAAAACGATTTGACAAACTAGAAAAGATGGAGGTAGAAAGTAAGAACCCTCAAATGGCTAAAACCTCCAAAATGAAAACCTAGGAAAAAGAAATCAAAACCACATAAGCTAAAGGTTAAAAACATTTAAACAGCCATGCATAAGATAATACAATGGAACGGTCATGGAATAAAGGCAAATATAATATAAATGAACTGCTTCTGTTAATAACAGATCTGTCACTGGCAGTTGTTTGCCTTCAGGAAACACTCCTTAAGCAAGGTGACAGTGAATATAAAAGAATACCAGTAGTACAACCATACACATGACATTGGGTGGTGCATCAATCCTAGTTAGGAATGATGTACCCAAAGTAAAATAATTTTAACAATTACTTTACAGGTGGCTGCTGTTAAAGTGAACCCTACATAGGCCAATAAACATTTGCTCGATATATATCCCACCTAATGAACAAATAAATGAAGCCAAAATTCATGAAATTATAAGGCAACTCCCTGCACCCCTTATGATACTAGAGGACATTAACTGTCACGGCACCATATGGGGCTGTAAAGACACAAGTCAAAAGGGAAGGACATTAGAAACAACAATGATTTATGTATTTATAACAATAAAACTCTGACTTGCATAAATCCACTTACTTGCAGCTACTCTGCAATAGATTTATCCATATGTGATCCATGAATCTATATGGATTTCTCTTGGGAGGTTTTGGCAGACACATGCGGTAGTGATCATTTACCAAATCTTCTGCATAATGATAAAAATCCTCTCCATTGAAAATTAGGATGAATGAACTGGGACAAATTTAAAAACTGATGTTCTGATAAACTAGCTGAAGGTAAATACACTTAAAACAGTTTACAGAAATCCTTATATCTATTGCATTGAAAGAAGAGCTTTGAGAGATTTCAACAGTCTTCAACCTCTAATTTGTTGCAATTTAAGCAACTTCAAACAAAAGTACAGAAAATAATTAAAGCAAAAAAGTATGTTGGAAAAACTGTCAACAAACTTAGTTTTACCACAAAAAGAAAATCTTTGTGATACAAGGAAAATAGCTGGTAAACATCATTCTAACACTATAAAACATCTCTCAATAAATAACTGTAAAATAACCAGCAAAAAGGATATTGCTGATCAATTAGCCAAAAACTCATCTGCCAAAAATGGTAGCCAACAATTTCTGAAGCTCAAACAAAAAGCAGAAAAACAAAAATTAAACTTTAAATCCAATAATGCTGAGAGCTATAACCTGCCATTCACTATAAAGGAACTAAATGAATCTTTAAAGAAAGCCCACAATACAGCTGTGGGACCAGATGATATCCACTATCAATTCATAAAACAGTTGGCCAACAAATCATTACAACTGTTATTAAATATGTATAACAACATATGGACAAGTGGCAACTTCCCAGATATGTGGAGACAGCCATTCATAATCCCTATTCCAAAACCTGGAAAGGATGACACCGGTATTAACAAGCTGCCTATATAAAAGTATGGAGAGAATGATCTACAACAGGTTGACTTGGTACCTGGAAACTAACAGCCTAATCAGTGGCTACCAATGTGCTTTTAGGGGGGTGGGAAGTACCATGGATCAATTAGTACACCTCAAAACCTTTGTAAGAGAAGCCTTCATTAAGAAAGAACATGGCACCTTCTATTTTTTCTTTTCCTTTTGTTTCTCTCTCTTCTTTTTTTTGTTTCTCTCTTCTTTTTTCTCTTCTTTTTTCTCTTCTTTTTTCTCTTCTTTTTTCTCTTCTTTTTTCTCTTCTTTTTTCTCTTCTTTTTTCTCTTCTTTTTTCTCTTCTTTTTTCTCTTCTTTTTTCTCTTTTTTTTTCTCTTCTTTTTTCTCTTCTTTTTTTTTCTTTTTTCTCTTCTTTTTTCTCTTTTTTTTTTTTCTTCTTTTTCTCTTCTTTTTTCTCTTCTTTTTCTCTTCTTTTTCTCTTCTTTTTCTCTTCTTTTTCTCTTCTTTTTTCTCTTCTTTTTTCTCTTCTTTTTTCTCTTCTTTTTTCTCTTTTTTCTCTTCTTTTTTTTCTCTCTCTTTTTTTTCTCTCTCCTTTTCTCTCTCCTTTTTTTCTCCTTTTTTTCCTTTTTTCTCCTTTTTTCTCTCTCTTCTTTTTTCTTTTTTTCTCTTCTTTTCTCTTCTTTTTCTTCTTTTTTTCTTCTTTTTTCTCTTCTTTTTTCTTCTTTTTTTCTCTTCTTTTTCTCTCTTCTTTTTCTCTCTTCTTTTTTCTCTCTTCTTTTTCTCTTCTTTTTTCTCTCTTCTTTTTCTCTTCTTTTCTTCTTTTCTTCTCTTTTTTTCTCTCTTCTTTTTTCTCTCTTCTTTTTTTTTTCTCTCTTCTTTTTTTCTCTCTCTTCTTTTTTTCTCTCTCTTCTTTTTTCTCTCTCTTCTTTTTTCTCTCTCTTCTTTTTTTCTCTTCTTTTTTCTCTCTTTTTTTTTCTCTCTTCTTTTTTTCTCTCTCTTCTTTTTTTCTCTCTTTTTTTTTCTTTTTTTTTCTCTCTTCTTTTTTTTTTCTCTCTCTTCTTTTTTTCTCTCTCTTCTTTTTTTCTCTCTCTTCTTTTTTTCTCTCTCTTCTTTTTTTCTCTCTCTTCTTTTTTTCTCTCTCTTCTTTTTTTCTTTCTCTTCTTTTTTCTCTCTCTTCTTTTTTCTCTCTTTTTTTCTCTCTCTTCTTTTTTCTCTCTCTTCTTTTTTCTCTCTCTTCTTTTTTCTCTCTCTTCTTTTTTCTCTCTCTTCTTTTTCTCTCTCTTCTTTTTTCTCTCTCTTCTTTTTTCTCTCTCTTCTTTTCTCTCTCTTCTTTTCTCTCTCTTCTTTTCTCTCTCTTCTTTTCTCTCTCTTCTTTTCTCTTCTTTTTTTCTCTCTCTTTTCTCTCTCTTTTTTTTCTCTTTTTTCTCTCTCTTCTTTTTCTCTTCTTTTTTTCTCTTCTTTTTTCTTCTTTTTTCTCTTCTTTTTTCTCTTCTTTTTTTCTCTTCTTTTTTCTCTTCTTTTTTTCTTTTCTTCTCTTCTTTTTCTTCTCTTCTTTTTTTCTTTCTTTTCTTTTTTTTTTTTCTCTTCTTTTTCTCTTCTCTTTTTTTCTTCTCTTCTCTTTTTTCTCTTCTTTTCTTCTCTTTTTTTCTCTTCCTCTTTTTTTCTCTTCTCTTTTTTCTCTTCTCTTTTTTTCTTCTCTTTTTTTTTTCTCTTCTCTTTTTTCTCTTCTTTCTCTTCTCTTTTCTCTTCTCTTCTTTTTTTTTTATTCTTTTCTCTTTTCTCTTTTCTTCTTTTTTTTTTCTTTTTTTTCTTTTTTTTTTTTTTTATTCTCTTTTTTTATTCTCTTCTCTTTTTTTATTCTCTTCTTTTTTCTTATTCTCTTCTTTTTTCTTCTCTTCTCTTTTTTTATTCTCTTTTTTTTATTCTCTCTTTTTTTTTTTTTTTTTTCTCTTCTTAGAAAAGATGTACAATATAACATGGAAATTTGGTATCTTGAAAAATCTGCATGAACAGGGTCTAAAAGGAGGGCTGATTCAATTCATAGGGAATTTCCTGAAAGACTGGGGATTTCAAGTCGGTATAGGAAGTATGTTATCAGAACTGCAAGATCAAGAAGGGGTTCCACAGGGAAGCATTCTTTCGGTGACACTGTTTTGCATAAAAATTACTCCATCTTAGCCCAGGAGTGAGATTCTCTCTATATGTCAATGATTTTCTACTTATGTACAGATCTCAACATATGAATACTATACTACAAACTGTTTCCTTACAAAGAACATGCATTCTATTATTACAAACTGTTTTTTTACAAAGAACATGCATTCTATTCATATGAATTGTAAAAATCTTGTCTGCATTAAATAACCCATTGAGATTGACATGCTGTAAAACAAAAACAAAACTTGAAGCCATATTTTTTTAGTGTGAAATCCTGTACTCAATCATTACAGATACCAAGCAAAACTATTAAATGCGTTCATCATCTGTAAAGATACCCACCTTTCATTCTCTTTTGACTGCTTCATATGATGGCTTTAATATTGTTTCCCAGGCTTGTTTTTACATTACAAATATTTCTTTTCAGTTCATCTTCTGTAGTTTTCAGCTGGTTAATGATAGGAGTACATAGACATATTTATGTATCATGGATCAGCTGATAACAATGAATGTCACAGGTACTGATATAATTCCTTTTACAGTACCAGCAATTATATTAATCTAAATGCAGTCAAAAAGTTTGGTAATAACATAGGCATACAGTTTAGCTTGAGCAAATGCATAAAAAAAACACATTTAAGAGATGTGTGTGAATACCAATGACATTGCTTTATATAGATACTGCACTTAGAGCTAGATCGGGATCAGGCCTACAAATATATAAGGACTCAAGAGGCAGATGACATAAAGCATGTAGCAAAGAAAAACTCGCTAACTCTGGCAATAATTCTATATAATGAACTCTGATAATAATCGGATTATAACTATAAATTCACTCGCAATGCTAATTGTTACTTATACTTTCAACATTATCAACTGGACTATCACTGAAATAGAAAATAAAATGGGCTCCAAATTAAAATGAAGGACTAGCCATGAAATGCACCTTCTGAAGACATTTTGGCTTAGAATTAATGGTGGTAAGAGCTTAATCCAATTTAAGTTTACTTATAAGACTTACCATTGGTTTAAGAAAATATTTACATCCCATATCTGACTGATGCTATTTGCTAACATTCATAAGAAATGTTAAAAAACAACTTCAATCCATTTTTAAAGAAAACAAATTCTTAAATGAATTCAACTTCACTGTTAAAGAAAGATAAAATTATTTGACCAATCAGCTAAAATCAATTTAAAAGTTTTTTTTAAGAAAAGGTTGGTGTTGTTTGGTGGGGAGGGTAAACAAAAAACATCTGGGGATAAAAACCCTTGCATGACCAATATAAGTTCTGAAATAATGCTGCTGGCATAGACATAAAACTCTTTAGTGGCTGAACAACACAGAGCTAAAAGCAGATGGGATTAAAGCATATTCACCAGGAGTTAACAAACATAATTTAGATAAGAATCAAAAACGAAACTCTATATGTAGATTGAGCAACTTAGTGAGGCTCTTGACCACTTAGTATTTGGTTGTCCAATCCTGACACTGAGAAATACAAAGTTTACCTAATATTAAGCAGTAAATTCATTGGCAGATATGTCTCTTATATTGCACCACACATGGAAAAAAATAGTATAAACATAACACTGAACCATTCTATTTACCATGAAGTCATTATTTGTGGCTTTTCTGTTCATACTCATAGACTAGGTATAGTGATTAAATACTATAAATAAAAAGTTTACCTTCTAGATATGGTAGTAGAATCAGATAAAAAATATCTTATGACAAAATAAGTAGATAGAATGGTTTTGAAACTACAGTTAAGATCTATAATAATTGGAGATGTGGGTATGATCAAAAAAGATTTGGTCTTCTATTGAGAGTATTAATGTTAAAATATAAAAAGTACCACTTAATATCAGAATTTGTGCAAACAAGATGCATGTATTTACTGCCTTCTCTTACCCTAGGTCTTGGATAATGGCCAATAAGAGATTTAATTTTTTTATTTTTTAAAGCCATTTTGGGGGGGAATAATGTCTTATATGCTGTCGGATACAGTATTTCTATTTGCCAGTAGTTTCAGGGGAAATTTTTGTTTTTGGTAACTGGGTTATATGAACTTCATCAAGTGGCAAGCTTTTACAATGATGTTCACTCTGTACAAGACCAATGAGCCACTTGAGGTAGAGGGTTACAGAGTACAAGGTATCACCCTGAGCAAGGTGATAATGCCACAAAGGGGCAAGGGGCCACAGGAAGTGAAAAGAGAAGGCAAAGACTTAGAAACCCTATCCTAAATAAGAAAAAAACCTTTACTCTTGTCCAAAAGGCTGAGGAGGAGTGTGAACTGGACAATAGGCAAACTAATTCTGTTGTGGCTTATGAAAGAAAGGCTTTTAGGAATGTAAATTAATGGGCAACAATAGTATGAGGTTTGGATAGGAACAATCATATCATGATAGTATAATTGTGACAACCAGTAGGTCAAATTATATATATATATTTTATTTTTATATTTTAATTAATACACACACAGCACGCCTTTGATAGTCTACCTAGACTTCTACAGAGAACTGGAAAATGCATATCATAGTAGCATTGAATGAACAAACTACCATCACAAAACTTATCTGTTCTGTCATAGTTCAGAGTGTAGACTACTGTGTGTTCTTGTTGGACATTAGAATTGGGAAAGGAAGTTACTAATTTGAAAAATCTATGTAACCAACGGCTTGTTAAAAGAATTCTGGATTTCCATGTCAATATTCTAAGGCTTTGTTCAATCTCTGGAATCTTTTAACCCTGGTATTACAAAAGTTTCATTTAATGAAAATCAAAGATATTGATATTATTACTAGTGAATATTTGTTTACTATTTAGTGTTGCTCATAAAAGAATTTCTTAAAAGATTTACTTATAATTTAAAACTTGTATTATTTAACTTTATTGCTTTTAAGTTTTGGAGAAAAAAACACATTTCCTCTCTTTATTTAACTTAGAATCATTTGTAATACAAATGGACTACAATACAAGAAAGTTACTTTGAAAAATAGTAGCTACCAATGATTAAGAGTCAACAGACAGCACTTTGGTGTTGGAAGAGACATTTGTATAAAATCAACTGATTAACATTATCCATAAAAACATCTTTGACACTCTTCAAACTTTTTATTCACAATGTTTCTTTCCAAACCTGTTATCAAATGGATAAGCATAAACAAGTATGAATATTTTTATAAACTTGCAAAAGCTGCTTCCGTAAAGAAAACCTAATGGTCAGAAGATGCAAAAAATTTGTAAAATAGAAATAATGATGGATGATTATGACAAAAAGAAAAGAAGCTCATTGATTTTCAAAGATATTCATTATCTTATTGTACAGTAGCACAAAACTTCATATGAACTACTCCAGAATATGTGATAGAACAATTTGTAGAGGTGAATACTTGGTTATTTCAAGAAGGATTTGGTTGGTAATGATCATTTGGTTATTGATTAGAAATACTCTCAACTGATTTGAAGTCTTCAAAGCTGTTTTACAGAAGCTGAAATCAATCAAAACAAGTTGTCAGTCTTTGAATATATTTTCTTTCTCTAAAAGGTTTTGGATAGGCACAATCATAATAAATTGATATTACTAAGTTTTCAAGTTGAATCTACACAAATACATGATCTCTAAAATGGTAAAGTTGATTAATTCATTTTTTTTATCATAATCTCTATACATTTTACTACACACCACTTAATTGTAGGAAATAAGTGTATAATTTAAATAAATGTTTCTCTGATTCAATACCACAAATTCAAATGCTAAAATAGTGATTTTCATTTTCTTTTGTAAAGTAGATCTCACTTATACAAAATATATACATTAACAATAAGGTTATGAGCCTGATGATTTTAAAAACTGACTAAACATCAGAATTTTAGTGGGGAATTCTTCCTTGGCTGAGCTGAGAATTTTCCACCATCTTTCCTCTATCCACACATGCAGGCAAATTTTTCTATTTATACATTGGTCATTTGAATTTACATTTTAACTATTTATACTTTTAATTTACTTTCACTCATGTCACCTAAAGGATTCATCTTTTCCATTCATAAAGATTAATGCATTTAGTACTATAGATTCTTATGCTATAACCACTTCCTTTATCTGTTATCACTGGTTATTTAATCAAATATAAAATAAGTAGTTTACTGTAATATTTTTTTTAATTTTGTATTGTGTATATTATCATTATTATTATCTATGAATTATTGGTCTTTTTATATCATGAGAAATTAAACTACAAAGCCCCCTCCCCATTTTTTTGTAAGATGAGCAAGCAATAAATACAATGCTACCTGTTTTAAAGTCTTATAGTATTTATTTTTTTAAATAAATTTCAGTATTTTCTCTTTGAATATTGAAATTGGGAATATATTCTCATGCCTAAACCTTTTTTTGTTTTTGTTTTTTGTTTTTTGTTTTTTTTTCTCTTTTTTTCTCCTTTTTTTTTCTTTTTTTTTTTTTTTCTTTTTTTCTCCTTTTTTTCTCTTTTTTCCTTTTTTTCTCTTTTTTCTTTTTTTTTTCTCTTTTTCTCTTTTTTTTCTCTTTTTTTCTTTTTTTCTCCTTTTTTTCTCTTTTTTTCTCCTTTTTTTTTCTTTTTTTCTCCTTTTTTTTCTCTTTTTTCTCCTTTTTTTTTTCTCTTTTTTCTCCTTTTTTTTTCTCTTTTTTTCTCCTTTTTTTTTTCTCTTTTTTTCTCCTTTTTTTTTTCTCTTTTTTCTCCTTTTTTTTTTTTTCTTTCTCTTTTTTTCTCCTTTTTTTTTTTTCTCTTTTTTTCCTTTTTTTTTTTTCTCTTTTTTCTCCTT